TCTTTTAAGGTTCAGGACTTTTTAAGTCTTTTGAATATCATCAGTATCATAAGACAAATGCCAATGCCACTCCTGTCTGAAAGAAAACTGTTTGCTGAAATCCTATCCTGTTGCCTCATTCTGTCTTTTCCATAATTATGCAATAGCCCTTGATTCATTCTGCTTTCTTTTAAGAGAATTCTGCTTTCTTTTCCCCACTTTAAGCTTGGAAAATACACATTATGACCTGGGAGGGGAAAATACAACATTCAGTAAACCACTCCTTCAGAGTTCCACTACGCAATCAAGCTTTAATCATATACAATATATGTACACTATCAAAACATTGTGTAGACTGCATTGAGGGCTCAAATCAGAGCACTTCATTTCAATTCCCTTTTACATTTTACTTTTATTTTTTTAAACAGAAAAACAATTATAGCTTTCTTGACTGTACTGTGCTCCCATTCCCATTACAAGAGGTGCTATAAAAACTTGGAATAAAAAGCTCAGAGGATGTGGATGAATGTGCCATTAATAACAAACCTCTATTGTGTGTCACATTCCTCAGTCTTAGCTGTGTGGTCATCATCTGGAGAGCATTCCATAACATTTGTCCCGGAAAAGAAATACGCCACTGAAGAATATCCCGTTCGGTGACGATGTCACGTTGTAAACGTCTGTGCTTTCCGCATTTAAAGGTCTATCTGTGATGAGAACCATAATCTTGCAATAGAGGAGTGCCAGGCAAATAAGACACGGCAGATACATTTAAATCTTCTACTTCCTTATCATAATGCTTCCTGTAACACAGAATTTCCAGTACAAAACATAATTGCAAAATCTTTTCCATCAGTGAAGTCCTCCAGGGATTGTAATCTAGTTTTTGTGTTGTTCACTCTGACTACAGTATATACTGTATATGTATATTCTAATCCATACAGTATTTTACCTGAATATAAGTCATATTACAGTAAGAATAAACAAGCCATAACATCCATGTCTTATGTTTTGCTTTCCTGTTCGAGCTATGCTTTTATTTCATTCAGCTTTTAAACAAACTAATAACTTGTAACTCTTTTCACTTTTTTGTTATTTTCATTTCTTACAATACTGACAAATTAAAGTTAACTATACAAAATCCCCAACAGTTCATAGCAGAATTCAAAAAGGTTCAACTGGGCAAATAAGTTGCTGAATTATGCTGCTGGGAGCTCACACAGACAATTGGCCAATACTAAAGTCACGGGAACCACACTGGCAAGGTCTGCTTTCCATCTCCCTGACACTTAAAGTGTGGTTAAATTGGTTTTATTTTTAGTACAAACTTAAGCATCCCTGTAAATGACACTCATCCGTGACTTCACAGCATCACATCCACAGCTAGATTTTTAGGAATAAGTCTCTATACCCACTGAATCTCTAGGCACCGGCCTTCTCCAGAATGCCTTTCAAACTACAATCATGCAACAGTCTCAATGTGCTTCTGGAGAGCATGTGATTGGATCTCAGCTGATTGGAAAGCTTGAAAAGCATTGCAAAAAGAAGTTGAATTTGATTTTAGGTATTACACATCCTACTACTACTACCTGGTTGTGTGCTGCTGTTTTTGCACACATCTAGTTTTTGAGCAATGGTCCCAAGCTAACAACAATTTCACTTATGTAACCAGATGATGATGTGAGCTTTCCTAAACAGAGCTGGACACTGTCTGAAGATTATTCCCCATACTAACTGATTCATTAAAACAACATTGTTGTTGTTGTTTTTAAGGCTGATGCATCAGTGATACTTCATCTCCACATTTCCTGGCATGTAATTAGTATTACAGTAAAATAACTAGACAAAACAAAACAGAACTTTAAGCAGGAACAAAATGTCACCTGTAGTTTCCATCCCAGTGAAGGAAGTAAGAAGTCCATAAAACTTTAATTTCCAGACAATGCCAACTTCCTTTTACCTTTCTTCAGTACATGACCAAGGGTTCCTCTTTGTGTTGTGCATGTTTAAGAACTGATCAAGACAAACGAGTTCTGTGCTACACTGTAAACATTTCTACTTCTGAGAACTTGGAGATGAGGGAATGCTGAAACAGCAGAAGGCACAACCAGCAAGCAGACTGACCGACCCGATATGGCGCTGAACCCTAAAAGAACAGGTGGCATGAATACTATACTGCTCAACGCAACAAGGCTATAAAGACATAGCTATCCAAGATCACTGTTGTCTTGCCAAACCTAATAAAACCTAATTTGTGCATTCACAGTCACTTAGTCTGCTACTGTAGGTCCACACTCACAACATTACTAGACTTCTTCTCCTAATGGCAACAGCATTATTCAAGGAAACAGTCTTGATTTTTAATATTTTAAGTTCTCCAGCCAGTGAGAGTTTGGGCCCTTTTTATCCTTTTGAATTGGCATTAAAACACAAAAGATGAAAACCAATGCTCATCACTCTCAGTCTCAGAGTTAGAACATGACGAATCCTTTCAACCACCCTGTATTTGTAAATCACATTGCAAAGCACAAACCACAGCAAAAAAATAAAGACTAACAATTGTGGAGGCTGACAGAGGGGTATTATTTTAGAACATGCATGAAAATGAAATGCAAACCCTTGTTAATGCAGTACCTTTTGCTGCATGGGGATATAAAATGTAAATGTTTTAACCGTGCAGGAAGGTTTCTTTTTGTAGTAGAAGACTGGAAAAAGGAAAAAGTACCCTTCAACAGACATATATTAGGTATATGGAATTCTATAAGAACACGTCTACAATAACCACCAGGTTACAATAAAATAATGGCAGGCAGCACCAGTCTTTACACGGGCAGCTGTGGGTGTCTGGGTGAACTACCTCTTATGTTGTGGCAGGAGATTCACTGTAATCTTTCAAGAACGGCTTTGCAGACATGGTCAGATCAAGAAGATAAAAGATGTGTAATGCACAGGATGACCCAAACAGCCAACGTTAGTTATCAACCTCTCTCATCTTCTTCTGGAAAGAAAGAAGGTGAATAAATGAAGGAAATACCATCCTCATCAGCAAAATTCAGTCTGGGTCACTAGCCATGCCCAATCATTTAATTTATAGATGCAATTATCAGAAAATACCAAGCCTGATAACTATTAATGGCAAAACTGCTTATCCCAGATGTTCTGCTTCTCTGCATACTGGCAGAGAGACTAAGGCCTGATCGTACCGCATTTGTATTTCAGTTTAATCATCTGGTCCTGCTCTGGTCCCTCCGCTCCCTCTCCCATGACTTGCATAAGGTTAACTTTTGCAAAGTCATTTAGCAAAGAGTTGCAGTTTATTTAATGCACTGCACTGCTGCTTATATTTCAAGAGACACCTAGTGTTTTTCTTGCAGGTTTATACTAGTAACTGTCACCAATGATTACCCTCTTGCAAAAAACCTCATCCAACCATCCACTAACAGAGCATCTGATAACTTCAGCCAGCAGAGCGCTGAACTGGTAAACCCAGACGTTAAGTATGGAAAAGGCTAAGTCAAAGTCTGAAAGAATCCCACTGAGTCAAAAACCAACCCTGTTCTTGCATTATGACAATTGTTTTAATTGCTAACTAGGAGATTTTAACCTAAATTAAATTCCTACAACCCTAGATTACTTTGTTTTATGATGTACTAATTCTTCATTGCCAATGTATAGTACAGCATCCTGTCAGCTGCAGTCTGAACACTGAAGCTATGGACCTGATATAACTACACAGGAAAGTTGTTGCTGCAGTGAATGGCCAGAGGCATGTTTTCTCTGTAAGTGTGAACAGGTGCACAGTATTCCTGACAAATTGTTTATTATCATGGAAAAGCGTGAATTTTTCCCCCTCTTTCCCCTCTGAACAAAGATTCAGATTTTCATCATAAGGGCTTTCCTTCAGTGGTGTCATGCAGAGCTCTGATCTGCAAATATTGTTTCTGTAAGAGCTGCACAGAGCAGCCATGAGTTTAGCACTCAAGAGAGCCTCCTTTCATAATTGGAGCCAAACAGCTTTCAGGAAAGCAAAATAAATAACGTTTTGTAATCATCCCCACTTGAGGAAATGTGTCAAGTCTGTTAAGACTGTTAGATGGGCGTTAGTAGTAATGTCAGTATGGAGGAAGCCACAAGTAAAGACAAACGAATATCCAGAGAGTAGAACTGGAACAACTGAAAGGGTTTATTACTCAGATCGACTACATTGCCGTTCGGACACCTCACTGGCTCCAGGTGCCAAACCTGTTCTACAGAAGAAGGAGTCATGAATAAACCATTAATGGGTTTAACACCAAGAAAAGCTCTGAAATTCTTAAAAGATCAAGTAGGTTAGCCCATCTTTTATTTTAATTACCTTTGTTTTTGGAAAACATCACTGTCGCCTGCCACATGATCGTTCACTCTGGATTCAGAGTGTATTATTTCTTCAGCGTTCATCGGCAGTGTGCTGTGCTGCCCCAGACACAAGCAGGAATCACCTTGCACGCTAATGTCAGCTTAGCCTGGACTCCTCATTTTTAAAATAATGATCTCCGGTTGCGGGTGGCCGTCGCAGGGATATGATTTGAACGCCTGCAGCGTGCATGTGTGGATTGTATAATCCCTGGATACTTTGAGAACAAGTCTGGCTTCCCCGTTTGGTCTTTTACCGGCACTAGAGTTGCAACCCGTCATGACTAAGCGAAGTCTGATGCCTCACCTGTCGCGGCAGCCAATTAAGCATCAGGTTTACAGAGAGGGCAAAGGTAAAGCACTTTTAGAGGAGAGCAGGTGTTTAATTCTACCACGCTGTTCTGTTAAAAAAAAAACTTTAAAAAAATTAAGTATAGTGGCTTCAAGTCGCACTTTAGCTTGGCAATTTATTAAAGCGGAAAATAAATCAGGAAAATCGTTTAACACTGTCGCGTACAACTTGCGCTTAATATTCGATTTTGTGCTTGTGAGGTGGGAGGGGCGGTGGGCTGAGGTACACGGCAACTAGACAGCTAGTGAGCATGCAAGCATAACGCACACTTCCTCACCTTGACAGAGTCCACGGGGTACATCACGCTGTGCTCCAGTATCCCTGCCACAGCTCCCGCTGTCATGTGCGTCGCCAAGGAGGCGGTGGGCGGAAGGCTCTCGTAGCCGTCGGCTTCCGAGGGCTCCCCGTCCCTGCCCTCGCTGCTCTCCGACATCTCCAAGGCTGCGGCCACCGGGTCGCTGCGCCACTCCATGCGTGAGAGAAGCAGGCACACGGTAGTAAACACTAGCGGAACGGCGGCAGACACAGCCAACCCATCGCCACTTTCCAGCGCCTCCTTGACGTCATTCCACTCCGTGACAGGGTGCCTCGAGTGGACCAATGAAAGCGAAGACAACGCAAACTAAGGCGGGACGCTTTTCGGAAAGGGGCGGGGCTGGCCCGGGAAGTAGCCAATTGAAACAACGCGCAATCAGAGAGGCCGCCGTGCTATAGCAACGGTACGGGAATACTTTTGATTTACTGAACTCCGAACCAATGGCAAAGTCCGAAACTTCAGACCACTAGGCGGCTAGTTTGGAGTCCAAGACTCTGGGTGACTTGAAGGATGTTTTCAAGAGACGTGTAACGCAATTCACGTGTACCTGTGCATTCAAAACGAACATTTATTGCCATGGAAAAGTCACCTTTTTGGTCATTTGCAGTCTGAGATGAATGTCATTCTGCTTGTATTTAATACGTTGACCCGAACTAATCACCAAATAGGAACAGAGTTTGGAAAAAAAGTAAAAATTTCCGCGTTTAAACTAAGCTGAAATCCAGACAGCTTCATATATTAATTTACAATCCAGTCTATACGGTTCCGGAAAAAATGCTCGAGTATTTTTCAGAAATGCTATATGTTTAACAAACGTACAATATCTGAGGTTAAAACGAATGTCAACGAACGTATATGCTCTGACAAACCCTTAGTTTCGCCTTTCTAAATCTGCATTGTGGTCCAAGAAAATGTCAGATATAGCAAAACCGCTCTAACTAGCCACTACACCTTCGCTTAAAGTCCATTGACTGTTTTTTGACATTTGTTCCTAAAAATATAAAGTTGAAACAAATTCGGCCGTGACCTGCAAAACGTTGCTATTATTATACTGCCGTTGATTTATCTAAAAAAATAAAAATACTTATGCAGAACCAGTTTTCAGGTTGGTGCTTGTGTGAATTCTGACGTTTCTCTGATATGCGGTTTCTGACAGATTAAATCACATCAAAAAACACGAGCGATTTTTTTTTGGTGCAGAGTTGCATGTGAACGAAACCAAGAGCAGGAAGGTATGCTAAGAGTTTAGCTCTGAGCGGCGACAGTGCGGTGAAGTCAATTAAATGGTTTCAGGAATATGATTCATTCATTTCCTTCATTCTATGCAACACTTCAAGTCAGTTTTGAAATACGCAAATTAAAAATGTGGAAAATATCCTTCATTTCAAAATAAATAAAAATAAAGACAACACACTTGTTAAAACACTACTTTGTGCTTCGCGAGATTAGCTTTTCGGATTTTAAAATGTAGTATCGGCTTCTTATTTTGCATTTAACGCGGTAGACTAAACACAGCAGACGCAAAAGAAAGCACTCATCAGGTATTTCTGTGTTGCTTTTCCAAAATAAAATAAGTTAAAAAAAGATTTTAACTACATGCCCTGTTTTATATCAGTCCAGCACCTTATGAACATCGGCTTCTTGTTGCATTTACCATGATTATTTTAGGGAACAAAATCAAATTTGTATCCGTTAAATCTTACCCAAACATGTAAATATTTCCATGTATTATGCTATAATTAGATTTGCTTTCAACAGTTTATATAATGCTTTTGTTCTGTACCTTTGTCATGTCATAAATCGATGTTTTAGAACCTGTAAATGGAAAGTTAATTACTAAGAAATAATATTGGATATTAACTAGCTGATCGATACTGGGGTGCGTTTCTGCTGGTTTACACTCCGTACAGCTGAAATAGGGGTCTTGGATTCACCTGTCACATTGTGAAGGCATGAGACTAAGTATCAATTCAAGTGTCTTTAAACCGTTATTCACTAAAAAACGAAACTCTACCCATTGGTGTACTCGGGAAATCACCAAACAGATGTCCACAGGACAGGCACGCCGGAACCAAATCTTCCGAAATTGCATAAATTCATTTAATTAACTTGGATGTCATCAAACTATTGTAACGCATACAGGTTGTGCGAGCCAGCTTGCAGCGCGGTGACGTCACTGCCCTTCCCCGTGAATAGCAGGGACCTCTGCGGCCCGGCAGAGGAGAGATCAACTTGTAGCTCAGCTAGCTGGTTACCTGCTGAACGACGCTGGAGACCCGGGTTCGGGTGGAGGGCCGACCGGAGGCGGGAGCGGCGAGGTCTCATACCCAGGGGACCCCGAAAACCCTACACTATTAAGATTACATTCACATTTTTTCGGTAGAAAACCCCAGAGAGTCTCCTTTGCCTTCCAGAATACCATTTCCTTCGAACGCAATCTGAAAAAGACATTTCCAAAAGTTTGAGTTTTTTTTTAATGTAACTGGAATAAGTAATGCTCTTAAGGTTCTAAAATCAGCTGTCGCAGCTAACTTCAGGCATCTACCGCCCTCGGACAGATGGGCGTGACTCTGAGCAATAAAACACTCTTATGTTCTAATAAAACATTGTTGAGTGTAATTCGTGGGCTTACAGTCACTTAAAAAAAACTTTTAAGATATATCCTCATCGGTAATATAAAAATTAATGTGGAAAAATACCCGTTTTTTAATGACCCCTTTTTGTTAAATGTCCTCTTTGTAAAATGGGTTGAAGGATATAAGGTTGGATTTTAATTTTGTTTTAAATTGAAGTTATACATTTATCTGAGAATGACATTCCATCTATAATGTCTGAAAAGGATGTTTTGGATTGTCTCCGTGACAGGGCTTGTGATTTCAAGTTGCATTCCTGATGAACGCCTACAGCATTTTTGGCATTTGATTACCAACCACAGAATTCTCATTTTAGCTTAAAACACCTTTGCTCTAGGTTTTGATTTGACTATTTGGATTATCTAAGGTATTTGCAGTTTAACATATATGTAAAAATTACATGTTTATCTAGAATGGACACAATATCAAAACAAGAATGCTCTCAAGAATCAACAAGAATAGATCAGTTGTACATTTAAAAGTGTAATGTTAATACTGCCATGTGCTAAATGGTTGTTTACTGTAGAAACACCTCACCTAGGCCATTATTGCTTTTTAATTTTATTGATTTTCCTTCAACAAAATTCATTTTATCTTGAAAAGAAAAGTGACAATTCATTAAACCAATTAAGGTCAAAGAGCAAAATCTGAAGACCCAGGTGCAGATTTGCTGTGAGAAATTACAATACTATAATATGAAAATCAGAGCCTTAAGGAGGGAAAAGCCTGAATCTGTTCCCCTGTGTGTAATTTATTTTGTTCTGATTAGTATGGTCCAATTTTGTGGAGATAGGTTGCTGTCAACCATCACTCTTGTTCATTGATGACTTCAGTCTTGTTCTTTCACAGAAGCAAAAACAGATCTAGTTGGCTGGCCTTACTGTGCCTAAAATCCTGCTGGTGCTTTCTTTAGTAACCTCTGCATTCCCTGTGGCTTGGCCTTTTGTGGTATTAACTATAAAGAGCTTTCTGTCTTGTCGATTCATGGTGTTGCAGAGAGACGTCCGGAGACTGTTGCTGTCTTAGGTTTTGGGTCTCAGATTTGATTCTGGCCTGGGATGCATTGTGTGTGGAGTTTGCATGTGCTCCTTGTGGTTGCATGGGTTTTTTGCTGTGTGTTCCAGTGTCCTCCAGTCATCCAAAGACATGCTGTCTGCTGTTAGCGAGACGTGTGCCGTAAAAGGTTTCTACAGACATGATGTGACTGGGAAACAGAAAAATACAACATTTAACATCCACAATGATTTGATCCTGTTGTCGTACAGGAATTGTTTCTGGCTCCTACATCTCTCAAGTGGCATACAAAACGAATTTATCCTAATAAGGTTTTGGGCATGACAGCAGAACACCCAGCTGGTAGAACATTCAGTTTTGTATGCCTAAAGGCACTTTACAAGTCACATAACAATCTAAAACATGATTTTGTATTATACAGCACACTTCAATTCCTTTATCAGCTCACCAACATTTAAACAATTCCATGGAGGTTGAACATACTGAGGCTGTTGCTTTGCTCCATTGAGTAAGGCCCTAACCAGGTGGGTGGGGTGCTGGACCAGCACTTTGGGTGGATCTCGAAGATTAGCAGGGCTGTGGCCCTTCCTATCATGGGACATCTGCTGAAGATGGGATGGGAAAATGCGCTGAGAAAGAGGCAAGAGTACACAGATAATGGACAGACAATCTGCAGACTCATCCCCCATCTCCCCAGTAACACCCCTTCAACCCCTGGAGCACCCCAGGGCTCAAGGCAGCAAGACCGAAACCAGCTGGGGGACTGACTAATCCAAATGTGCTGTTCAGACACGACCGGCTCTGCCAAAACCAGACCCCTCTAAGGTTCATTCTCGAGATTGTTTTTTTTTTTATTTGCTTGCTGGTTTTCAAAATCTCTCAGATGAATACCGGTAAACATTCAGACAGATCAGGTTCCAATATCTGGAATAGCTATAAAGATAAAAAAAACACGAAAGTGTGTGGCTCCCCTATCTCTCAAACAAATCTGGTGCCAGGCTCCGTTCTCGCTGTCTGACACCCTGTGGTGAAGAACAGTTGTAAAACATTGTATAGATGTCTGAAAAGAACTTAATAAAATTAGGAGAAGTTGGAAGCCTGAGCTGAAAGCATCCTAAGCACGTTTCAGCTACTGAAGAGTGATCTCATTGCTGATGCGGTTTGTACCCAAGCTCATTGTGCCCTGTTGGAAGGCTGTGAAGGTGCCGGGGTAGCTGATTTCCTGTTCTCAGTGAATATCTTCCTCACCATGCTGAATGCCAGGCAGCATTCTCGCTGGGCAGGTTTGGAGCACACGCATGCTCCCTGAGCCACTGAAATTCGAGACAACTGCCACATACATTGCAGGAAGTGCTAGCTAACTGTGTGGCAGGTGCACAGCAGCCAATTTATGCATTCACAGCATGTCTACTTGGAAGAAGAGGGGGCTCTAAACGTACAGTGGCATAGTATTCTAAACACCTTGCAATGATTTTAGCAAACTGGATATCCAAGTATTAAATGTGATCACTAAAATAAGGGTGAGGAACAAAATAAAGGAATTATCCCTTAGTGCATTTTGAACAATACAAAATTGGCTTTTTGCTCTGAATGCTCAAAGACAAAACCCATGAAACACCCTGATCAAACTTTTTCGTCAAGACAGACTCTCCCTGTTGCTGTACAAAAGTCTTATTTCCTTAAAATCCCTAAAATCAGAAAAATCCCTTCAGTCTCACATGCCTCCTGATGCAACAGTGGGACTCAGAGGAAACAGATTGTGAAGTGCATTCCGGGAGCTGGATTACTTTAACTTAAAAGCCAGGATCATACTCTTCCACACTGGACACAATCGTTCAACACAAGTCATGTGAAACACAGTCATATGGAGAGGCCTGAGGGGGATATGGGCTCTTAGCAGTATACAGAGGGTCTTTCAGTAACTACACTGGGAACAGCAAAGCCTCTTAACTGTGCTACTCTGTACAGCTGTGGACATGGGAATGACATGGATAAAGCTCTAAAGGATGAAGACTTTTTATGACTATTTTTTCATTTCATGACAGTTTACCTTCTTTTAAAGTGATAATCAACTGGCATTAGCCATTCCTAACAGAATGTTGTCTGTCAAGGCATCTGAGCTGTTCCTAAAGATGCAGCTTTAGCAGGATCTGTTTTTGTCATTGCGTAGAACACGTTTTCATAAAATAAAAACACACTGCACAGAAACTCCCCCATGTCTTACTATAATAAAAATAAATAATACATTAAAATGTCTTTGTCTAAAACATGAACAGATGCCTTATTAAGACCTAAATTGGACATTTTCACAGGTTTACCACAGGTTTTTCCCAGGACGCTCAATTAGAAAATACTGAAGTAATGTCCTTCTCTTACATTTTAATCAAGAAATAGTGTAAAACCTATGTACGTCCGAC